CCAACTGCCCATGAAGTTTACCTGGAAGCCAGGCATGGGCTCCCCTGAGTAACATTCCCAAGTGCTCAACAAACCAACCAGCACGGTGGGTCTACCAAAAGGCACCAAACAGGCCACATATAACACAACCAAATGAAGAAGGAATCTGGAAAAGGGACAATACATTTTGGCATAAAAAATCCTTAGAAGAATTAGGATAAATGCCATTTTTTGATTTTTTTCCCCAAGTTTTACTCACCTCCTGGTATCACCTAAACATCTACAGAAACAACTATTACTCTTATCCTCTGATGTGCTCCAGAAATACGAAGCCTGCTACTCCTTTGTCGATTTAACAGAAGAAACTGTGAATCATGTCAATGTCTGTAGCTCATATTTAAGTTTCTTAACTATAAGGTCCCTGAAACTGCTCTAAATTCTGCCACATAATGTACCATGATGGATTGAGCCACCACAGGCCCAAAGAGACTGGGCCTAGTGACCAGGGACCAAAACCTCTGCAACTGTGAGCCACAAGAAATCTCTTTTTTCTAAATTTGTTCTCTCAGATATTTTGTCAGAGTAATGGAAGGAAGAGACAGCATGCCTGGTGCTCACCTTCCACTGAGGACTTGGAGCCCCCCAGAGACAGGATTAACCCCAGGCACAGACAGAGAAAGGACAACACCCTCCTGCATGGGAAGCAAGCACACATTCAAAGAATGGTGGAAACTTCCCAGAAGATAACAAAGCCAATGGCAAGTGGCTCTCCCTGGCCAGTGAGCATCAACTCTAGCACTGAAGTAAATAATGACAGTGACAGTTCACTATCATTACACCGAATATTCCACCAGTAAATAAATGAACAAATGAAAGAGGGAGAAGAGAGAGCCACTACCTGGGAGGAGGACAGTGGACTGGGAGTGCTGCCATGGGAGACCATTGGTGCAGCTAACAGTGAACACTTAGTAACAGGCCCATAGAGTCCCCCCATAACTACCATATTACAAAAAATAAAGCTTAGCCACAGTGGAGGCTCAGCAAACAGCACCTTACAAAGTGACTGGACATGATCTTGCTAACACTGCACAGAGCTCTTGCCTGTGGCCAGCCAGCCGAAAAATGCCCAACCTGAAACCCACGAGGAAGAAGCATAAGACAAACCCAAATCAAAGACATTCCACAAAATAATTGGCCCCTGCTCTTTAAAAACGTCAAGGGCAAGAAACAACAAATGGTCACGCAACTGCCACAGATTAAGAGAGACCACAAAGACAGCACATAAGCCTAACTGCCCCGGCTTGGGTAATGACGTACCAACACGAAACTTTGCAACTTTTCACAATATGCCACTGTGGTTTTGCAAGACAGTGTCTCTGGTCTGAGATAATAACACTGTGCCCCCACCCGACCTGCGAACAGCTGTGGGGCAAGTTCTGTGTATGCAGAAGGACGAAATGAGGCAAGGCCAAGGCAACACAGCCAGAGGGAAGCAGCTGCCACGCGGTGAAGGGCACCCAGGAGCTCCTGTACTGCCCCTGCAACCTCTCTCACAGCGAAGTCACAAGAGCTTGCCTGCAGCCCCCGAGAGCCCAGTGCACACCTACCACGTCCCCTCCACGTCTGGGCACAACTTCTAAAGGGGCAGGAGGGGAGGACACCACAGACTCCGTCCAGGCCCCCAACAGCAAGCTCACACACGTAGATCGGGGCCTCTGCACACAGCATTCTGACAGCTTTTTAAAAATAAAATACAAGAGAATCCCAACTGGACAGCTGGCTTTCCTGGTAGGGAGTTCCTTCTATCTCCCCTTTCTCTGTGTGGCCCACAGAACAAAGGACTATTTACTGAATTTGCAGCCAAATTCCTAAAATTTTCATTACCTCGATCAGAGTAAAACATAAAGAACACTCTAACAGCCACTATGAATAAGCCTTTGTCTCCTCCTTGAAAATAAAGGCAGAGAGCACAGCGATAGCTGCTGAGCCACGAGCACGCACCGCAACACTGTGCTACTCACACCGCACAGCTTGTGACTCCCTCTCTGCAACAGTCCAAGAAGGAGGACTGAGCCTCCCTTTACTGGGGAGCCAGCTAGGGCAGGTCTCTCAATTTCCAAGTCCTCCCTCCCGTGTTTCTCCTCAAAACTTTACATATGAAGTCTGACTTCCCTTGACGCACAAGAATCGGTCAGAGATGTGTTTCCAGCACATAACAAAGCAGCACTGCCCTTCATCACATGCATGCTCACCACCTCTGCTCAGCAGTGGCCAAGGATGAAGAAGCAGCCGCGAGCCAGCCCCATGCCCACAGCAGGGCTGCTCACCACCACCCAAGCCCTTCTCTGCATCCCGTCCCAGCCAGTCACTGCCAGCCGGCAAGGGTCAGCAAGAAAATGACATCTACTCACCAACCTTATTCCAGAAGCCTCCGCTAGCAATCTTCTGAGGCTACCCTACTGCTGTCTATTTACAGGAAACAGCAGAATACAATCCTCAGTAGAGAAATAGGCAACAACAGAAAAGCTGTAGCATTTACAATAGCTAATTGGTCTACAGATGGGCAAATGGCCTGAGATGCAGAACCTACCTAGCAGTGTGCACCTAGCCCTACCGCTTGGCTGTGTGGCCCCAGGCTAGTGAGACTTAGCTTGTGAAAGGGGAACAGGAGGTCCTGTATCTCCTAGGGATGCTGACAGCACATGCTGAGCAGTGAACCAAAGGCAGCCACTGCTGCTACCCAGCATGAGACCACAGGTTTCTACCTGGGGCCTCAGAGCATTCTACAAAGAAAACAAATTTATCACATGGCTTTTATCCACCAGAAGCTTTCACTTATGGACTTATGGCAACCTAAGTAACCCCATTAACAGGCCAGAAATTGAGGTTCAGAGAAATGAAACCATTATTCAGAGTCTCAAAGGCAGAGACCATCCAAACACGGGTCCTCTGTACCCAAAGCCCAGATTTTTCCCCATATCCCATGGGTTAGCTCAGGTCCTCGAGAGAAGCACTTCAAGCTCTGAACACTATAACGGGAAGTTGCAGAACAACCCACACCAAGCCTGATGCCAACACGAAGCCCCTGAAAAAACAACCTCCAAGCTCCAAACAATGTAACTACACAGTCACCAGGACTGTGTAAGAAATACCAAGAAATAATTTTCATTAAATTATTTTTGAAAATGTTCCTGGTGTTCACAATGCATACAAAAGGATGAGTTCAAATCACATTAAGGCTGAGTCTGGTGGTGCATGCCTATAATCCCAGCACTTGGGAAGCTGAGGCAGGAGGATCGTTTTGCGTTCAAGACTGACCAGCCTGGGCTATAAAGTGAGCTCAAGGCCAGCCTGAACTGCACAGTGAGATCCTGTCTCAAAAAGACAAAAATGAATAAATAGATAAATAAATAAATAAATAATCACATTACAGATAATGTAATTAAATGAAAAGGTAGGCATAAAAACCTACCATCTCAAGTCTCAGGCTCTTTCACCCTTCAAAAACTTGCAGTTTAAAAACTCAAAGACTGTATGATTTTATTTTAAAACTGAGATACGGAAAATAACAGAACTGTTCTGACTCACAGTTGCCTCGAAGGTTTAAGTACTCCTAAACAACCTAACTTAAACTGTAAAGTATTTCCAACTGGCACGCTGAGTCGAGAATGCCAAGGACTTCCTGCTTCTACAAACACACACGACAATCTTGTGAGCACAGAGGAACACACTCATAACATGAAAGTCATGTGCTATAACCTTCACCTGCTTATCAACATTTGGAACCACAGCAAACTGATTTGAGAAAAAACAGATTCAGATGAAACAAAATTATAAGTGCTTACTAAATACATATGGAACTCATGGGGATCCTCTTGCCTCAGCCTTACACCTGCTAGGGTTATAGGCATGCACCAGCATGTCTGGCTGTTTTCCTTCTTAATGCGCGTTTGGTGTTTTTTAAAGTAGCAGTCATTAGCTGGTTTACCCTAGAAGCCTGCACTGACAGCTCTCCTCCTTTGTTAACTGCACACAACAAACATGTCTCGTTATATAGCACATCACACCATGGGCACTGGCATGTGGTATGGAGTTCACTGCAAGCACAGCTGCAGATGCAACTGAGACAGCATGGCAGGAGAAGGAAGCATGTAATCTACACAGCACCTCACGGCTCTCCTGCCTTGGGAACCCACATGCATAGCTTACTAGCACTTAGAGCACTGAACTATCCACCCTACAGTGGGAAAGTGTATTGCTGTGCCTTCCTGAGAGTGATCTGAACTGAGCACTGTTTAAAAGAACTGAGGACCAGGTAAGCTCTGCTTCAGAACACATCTGATGAGACTGTGTGATTTCAATTTAGAATCCTGTTACTCCTTTTCGAAAAATGAACAACAGTATCTGGGAAACACCAGCTAACAGTATCTAGACAGTACTGCTTAGACGTGGACACATGTACATGCTGCCCACAGGCACTTACCTGTACACAACAAACTACCTCTTCTGTGTACAGGAAATTTTATTTTTACAACAAACTTAATGGTTGTAGTTTGTTGAATTTATTACCACAATGTGTTTATCACACTATGTTATGACTAATTATTGACAAAAAGCTGACAAGCTGAGTAGTGTGCACCTGTAGGATATCACAATGGTCTTTCAAGAGACAAGTGACAACATGGGGTGGAAGCAGTGCTTATAAATGACAGTTCTCACTGACTTTCACTAGGCCAAGGCTGGCTACACTGAGGTGTGGCCAACCAACGACCCACAGGTCACTTGCCCTCTTTTTAAAAAATGTTATAACATCATTTTTTTTAAAAAAAAGTTTTATTACTTACATACATTAATTGTACTGTATATTTTATTACAACCCTAGACAATTCCTCTTCACTTAATGTGGCCTAGGCAAGCCAAAAGATTGGAAATGCCTAACAGGAAACTCTAACTTTATGTGTCAATCAAGATCTTCTAAGAGAAACAGATTCAATAAGCAGACAGAAAACCTATGCACTTACCCCTGCTGACAACTTAATCACTCTGAGCTTGGAGCTCACATGAGGCCCGTCACCACTGCCTCCACTGTTGACCCGGTGCATGACTGTCCTCTTCACACCAGGCTTTATGTCCTGGGCCCGGCCCTGCAGAGACGGCACACGAGCTGCCTGTGGGGTGGATGGGGGCTCCTCCACATCTGCAGGTTTGATCTGCAGTAACTGGTGTGGTGTTTGACTCTGAGGTACTGTTCTGGTCTGTCTCAAATGTTTCAGTGGTTTCGTCTGCTGTCCTGGATACTGCACATTAGCACCAGATGGGACAAAGTTTGATGTTTTGGGCTGAACACTTGGAAGAGTGACATCTTGGTTCTTCACAAGAAGTCTCGTCTTCACATTCTGCCTGCCCTGTGCACCTGGGAAGGGTAGTAGGGGGTTGCCATTGGTGGGGGAAGGGGCAGCCACCTGCTCCTCTTGCTCCCCTGGGGCATGTGAGCCATAGAGGTGCTGCTGTTGCTGCTGCTGCTGCTGCTGCTGTGCAAGTCTTTCCAACAACTCCTTCTTCCGAGCACCAGCCTGCTGCTGCCTCCTGAGCTCCTTCTGTTTCAGGATCTCTTCCCTTAGGCGTTTCTGCTCCTCTATCTTTAAGCGATACAATCTTGTCTCTTCATCTTCATCAGGAAACTACAAGGAAAAGCATACACGGCTTAAAAGACAGGGTGACCATTCCACTTGGACCATCTGGGAAAGGCATTTCCCAACAATCTTGCAATCTGGCATCTAAAAGAAAGCACTCAATGCTGCTTAAAGACTGAGTATAACTCCTTCCCCTGGGAAGGGGTAAAAAAAATTACACAGTTAAAAATAATTTGGAAAATCTTATCAGAATATTAAAAATGAAATAATGTCAATTTCCACTCATTTACAAGTTTAAAACCAATTAAACCATTCATTTAAGATATCAAAATATGTTTCCAATAGGAATGGCACTAGCAGTGAGGCCCTCTGTCACATGGGTTTTATCTAGCTCTTCCTTGACAAACCAACAAAAGGTGGGGTGTAAATGACCTGAAAGACCCTGATTAGAACTATTGATTTTTCGTACAGAATTTTCAGCCTGATCTCAAACTCATTTGTCACAGAATAATTGGTTATAATGAACAGCATGAGTCAATCTCTCTGACCTTGAACTCATGTACCCTCCTCAGAATCAAAATGTTGCCAATTGCAGTATTGGAATATTAATGGTATATAAGGAATGCCTTGAATATTCCAGCCCCAAACTATTCAGAGAGTCCATCAAAAAATTCTCTGAAAAAGTCCAGTAACATTTGTAAAATATACCTGATAAAGAAAGCTTATAAAGTTAAGCCTTTAAAAAATAATATTCTGTAGAAGTCACTCATAGCCACAGATCCACTACAGGAAATGCCTCTGATTGAATCATCTCAGAATGTGCCTATTTAATAGTCTTACCTACCCTCCGCAAGCCCTAACCACTAGGAAGGTGAGATCAGACGAGGCCAAGAGGTCAGCTGGCACCCAAGTGGCCTCCTAAAGGGCCTGTCTGTCCAACCAGAGGCAATTCTGACCAGCTCAGCTCCCTAACGTCAAAGTTTTGTACACATTACAAGCAGAGCATCTGAAGGTAGCTGAGGGGCTGCTACCCAGGTAGGCGTAGAGAGCAAGAAAGACAGTAAGGTGAAGCCAAACCAACAGTCTAAACAGCAGAGGTGTGCAGGCAGCACTCAGAGGCACTGAGAGCAGCAGACACACTGACTGGGCCCCACATCCACCATCTCAAGACACAGCAGCAGCTACTGTTCATTGGCATTTCCCCCAACAATAGAGAAACAGTTGAAGTAGTTCAGAAATGTAGGCAGGAACACTTAAAAGACTTTCATCAAAACAGATTTACCTTTTATTATATAAACGAAAGGCACTATGAAATTTTTGGCAAAGAAAATTATAAACCACCCCAATTCAGTTTTTAAATCTACATTGTTTTGTCATATACTGATTACAAACCAGAAGTCACCCTTCTAAAAAGATCTTATTAAAGGGTAACACAAGATTTTGACTTTATATTTACAACTACTATAGTAATTTGTTAGAAGAAAATCTGATTTTAAAAATTAACTAATTAAAAGATAAAACCAGTACTAACTGGTTTTAATAAAATTAAAGAAGCATGACTTGCCTAAATCCATATCTAGGGAAAAGCTTCATGCCATCATTATTATATTAAATGCTAGTCTATTAGGCTACTTCCTTTTATTCCACATAAATCTCACTAATATGGATAAAACTTCCAAAGACTGTCTTCTATCAGGTCCTAGGCACATACCCTGCCTTGTTTTATCCTCATTTAATAGATAAGGAAGTTGAAGCCTGTGAGAAGTGAGGACCTCAAATGTGAATTGTATCCATTTATTATTAATACTTGGCAGCATTCTGCACGTCTTTTAAAATTAACAATTTAATTATACTGTAAACAAACTGAACCCTCCAAAAGCTTGAAGATCAAGAATAAAAGGAGTCCTATCTTCTAGGAGTTCACACTATGTGTCAGAAAAAACATCACAGAAACCTAGCATACATACTGGGGATCTGCAGATCACAGCCCACAGGCCAAATGTGGACCCCTCTTGGTTCTGGAAGGTGCCACTGGGACACAGGCATATCCCTTTCTGTGTGAAATGCCAGTAAACTGCCTTTGCACTAACATGCAGAGTTGAGTAACTATGACACCTTTGACTACATGACTGTAATATTTACAGAATATCTGGGCCTTTTAAAAAAAAATCTGCTAAGTCCTGGTATATATATGTTGATTCTATATAATGTAACAGTAACTGTACAAAAATATGAAGTCTAATATGGTAAACCTGTAAGAATATATAGCTATTCAGCTAAAAGACTCCATGGGGAAAAAGAAAAACTGGGCAGATTTTGTGAATAACTCACTGGATGAGTGAACTAAAACTTGACCTGAAACGTTTCCTATTTGAGATCAAATATTTTTAACAAAGAAAATGCCCTACCTCTGGTTCTGTTTTGGAGTCTTCCTTAGATTGAGCCGCAGGGCTGACTGGCTTGACTTTCAAGTCAGTCTTTCCCTGTGAGTTCCTGGAAGCCACCACAGCCCTTGCAGGCGGGGATGTGCTGACGATGGGCTTCACTTGAGCCGAAGGTGTGGAGGAGCAGCGACTGCTGCTTATTTCTATAACGTGTGATGGTGCTATGGGCAATTCACGCAAATTGCTATTCCTGGGAGCTGTGGGCTGCATCTGCTGCATGGGCCGTTTCGTTACATTCTGAGATGCTGCATTCTATCACAAGAACAAAAAATTTTAATTACAACTGGGAAGCTGGCAGAAGGAACATAAAAAAGGCATATCATGAAATTAAAAAAATAAAGATCATTCTCATTAGTAACTGACTTCTTTTCTGGGCAGCTGATACTTTCATACATGAACATAGCTTCACAGGCTAATTCTGAAGACTCAAGGTAAAGCCGCCCTGTTCACCGACACGCAGGCTCCTGGTTACAGAAATCTTACCAGGTAGTTTTGGGTTGGAGTTTCAGGACAAGGACTAACATATTTAACAGAATTCTCAAAAGCCAACAAGTACTCTTATCTGCCTTAAGGACTCGATGGGATCAAGAGCACACCTAAACTCAAGGCAGAACAGCAGAGGAATCAAGCGTTACATGATCCTTGACCACATAAATGTGTGTCAATTTTCCACAACTGAACAAAAGTTCTTTAAAGGCAAGGATCTGTCTCTTCTGTTTACTGCTGAAACTTGAGGAGTACCCGGCAACAGGGCAGTTAGAACATTTCTCCTGAATACATTTACTTTTTTATTTTGAAGCCAAAGACAGATAATCTATACACCAAAATTAAGCCATTGGCAAAGGTAGCATGACTTTTACCTAAAAGTACTTTCTAAAGTTACATGTCTATTAATATTGATCACTACTGAAGCATCACATCACATAAAAATGAGATGCTGAAGTCAGTATTAACATAATCTTTAAATGCTTTAAGCACAAATGGGGTAAGTAATTAATTTCTACAGTCAGGAAAACAATTTCCTAAGTTTTATTTAAAATACAGATTCACTTCAAAAGAACATACGTTTCTATTCACTTAAAATCAGAACTGAAAGACAATCTAACCAACTCTGTCCCCTGAGTTCTATTTTCCAGTCAAGACAGGGGAAGCCAGCCTGATACTCACATGCCGCAGGCCCTGGCGTGGGGGGCACTGCACCCGACTACTGTTGGGCTGTGGCTGTGCTGTTTGCACGTGTGGCCGGAACTGTGGCTGGGACAGAGGCATCAGAGGGGGGGGTGGCGCAGAGAGATGGTGGTGGTGCTGGTGTGGGGGAGGAGGCTGGTGCGGGGGAGGAGGCTGGTGCGGGGGAGGGGGCTGGTGTGGGGGCTGGTGTGGGGGCTGGAGTGGGGGCTGGTGCTGATGGGGCTGCGGCTGGTGCTGATGGGGCTGCGGCGGCTGCTGCTGCGGCTGAGGCTGCGGCTGATGAGGTGGGGGCAGAGGAGGGTGCAGAGGCCCCTGCCATCCAAGAAAGAGAAATAACAGTTTATAGACACGTATACACAAGGCACACTCCAAATAACTGCTGCTTTAAAAACCTTCACCCCAGAAAGAAACAACAGGCGGTATGAGGCTTCCCTTTAAATTTGCTGATGAAGTTAATACTATCTTAAGTAAAGAAATATACCAACAGCTACCATCTTAAACTTTATGTTTGCCCAAAGCCCTTCCCACCCAGGATTCCAAGAATTTATCTAGAGGAAGCAACTGCATGTGAACCAGCACAGAACCTCAAGCATGATCCCTACAGCACTACACCAAAACCAGCACACACATGCAAATCAGCAACCTTGCACAATACGCTTAGATCACACAGGAAAAGACAATTTGCTGATGTGAGGTCACTGTGACACAGTAACTGGGGAAAAGCGCAGTGATAAGGACTCACTACTGTAAGAGAAGACTAAAAAATGCACATGAAAGTATTCACAGCAACTGTTTCTGGGAAATGAAATTATTTAATTTCCTTTTCTTAAACTTATCTACATTCTAGTATTTCTACAACAGAGATGAATTTTTTATAAGAAGAGAAAACTTGGAAGACATTTAGGGGCCAAGGAGATAGCTCAGCAGCACGGTGCCTGCCTGTCTGGCAAGCGCAAGGCGCTGAGTTCGATTCCCAGTGCCAAAAAAAAAAACTTAATCGTCAACACCGTAAATATTAATCATTTTCCTCTTTTCACTTAGGTACATATCCTATGTGCTTCCAGGTTAAGTAAAGCACTATTCTATATATTAATGGTAAATACAACAAGGAATACGCCAGACTGGAAAAGATGTCACAAAGACCCATGTCCCCCGAGAAACACTCCCCCCCAGCAGAGGGCATGTGAGTCTGTCACTTGCTGAGTGAACAGCAACTGTGCTCCCCCCACAAAGGGCCTTCTCACCGTCTAGCACAGGAACAAACAGCGACATTTTTCTACTTCCCAAAAATAACAATCACTTTTTCCCTCTCTCCTAGTATCTGAGAAATAAGCAATATCCTCCAGAAAACTGTATTTTAAACTAATCCCTGTATTCTTTAACTACAAACCAACAGACTAGAATGACAACCTGATCTTCACTTCCACGCAACACTGATGCAGCCACGCACACAAGGTTTCCCTCGAGGCTGCTCAGGAGCATACCTGCAGGTTGGGCTGTGCGTGCGTGGGCAGGAAGGGCTGGCCTGGGCCAGGCAGAAACGGCTGTCTAGGAGGAATGAAAGGCCGCGTGGTGGCAGACCCCGGCTGGCTGAAGTGCAGGATCCCCACTGGCCCTGGGGGCTGCAGGGCTGGTCGCACAGGCCTTTCTCTCGGGAACACCGGCTGCTGTCCTTGCTGATTAAATGCTGGTCCCGGTTGCGTGAATGGTAAGGGACTCTGCGTGGGAACCGGATGGCTGCTGTTCAGAAGCGTGGGAGGCGGTGGAGGTGGAGGGGGGCTGCGCTGTTCCAGAAAGAGATGACTAGGGAACCTCGGTTCACCTGAAACTGAACACAGTACAGCAATGCCTTCAAGTTAGAAAGACCACACACTTCTGAGAAAAGACGTTGATGAACTGTCTTGCAATGGACAAAAATTATAAACGTGGGTAGGGCATGGCTATTTAGAAATAATGCTAGATTTTGCCCATTTCTATACTGCTTTGCAGATCATTTTCTATACACAATTTCCTCCTTTGTGTAACATCCGCACATTCTAGATATCAACACTGTCCAATGTGAGTAAGTGAAATGATAGGCAGAAATGCACGGACAAAAACTGACACCCGAACGTATCCCCTGGGAGCCAAGTCAGCTTTCAAAGAAACGATTCAGGTGCGCCAGTGAGCACAGCTTCTGCCCCTCGCTCTGCACCTGCAACCCCTTTCCCTGTATACCTCCCAAGAAGAACGGGTCTCGATCCTGCGGCGGGGGTGGGGCTCTCCACTGGTCCTGAAGAGGAAGTCGTGGGGGCTGGCTAAAGTTGTTAGGAACAGGTCCAGGTGTATGCTGTGGAAACTCCGGAGGACCCTAAAGAACAGCAATGGGAAAAGAAGAGTGAAAGACAGAAAAATACCCTGTAATTTTCCAAAATGTATACACAGTTCTGTGTTTTCCTCTGAAAACCATGCAAGGTATCTCTTACGGTCAGCCTGCCATGCCTCTCTCTATGCACACATACACACAGACGTAAATGACATGCTATACAAAGTTACTCTGCCACAATGGAACAGTCACTAAACAGAATGCAGCATGAAAAAGTAATTCAGTGTTTTAATATTATTACAGTGCTACAAGAGTATTATTTTTAAGCTTATTGAAATCCATGCAATTATCGACCTTCTTTCCCATTAATCCAAAGACTAAATGTCTACTTGGAAATTTTATGACATTTATCTTCTCAAAGATGGTATTCTTTGCTATCTATCTAACACAACCGTAAGCTACAGCTATAAAACTGCTTTACTTCAAAAAAGAAAAAGAAATTCAATTTGTATCCTAACAAAAGTCTGGAACCTTTGACATAACAGAAAAATGTGACTATTTAAAGAAACCAAATTACTATGAGAAATATTAAACAGTTGAATTCCTTTAGATAAAAAATGTTAAATGAACACACAGAATAACATTTTTTAATAGCTACTTACTCCGAATCTACACAAAGCAAAACTGTTCATCTTCCAGCTGGCCTTTCAAATACTGAGAATTTTTAAAACACCATATTTGCACAGTAGCAGCACTTAAAGTTTTTGTCCAAAAAAGCAAGAATTATTAACTTCTCCAAAAAGAAACAGTTAATTACTAGCTATCATGAGGACAGTTTGTGGTCACCCTTACTCCATCATTTGGAGCTACACCAGCATTCCTCAGCTTTTCATCATCGTGCTTCTTACAAAGTTATAACTTCAGATTCTACATGCCTGGCATCTCCTTGAAACGCCTGCTCTGCCATGCTCCTCAGAGGCACTGCAAGAACTGCAAAATATCCACTCACCAAGCCAGAACCCAGAAGACAGCTAGCTTGCTACGTGTGACAAGGAAGCTAGGCTAACACAGACATGGCATCTTTATGAAAATACAAGTATTAGAAACTTCATGGAAGATAGGGAACAGAAAGCCCCAAAGCTCAAGTTCTTGCAGGTTTTCTTTAGCACTATGTAAAACCAAAGAAATCCTCCCCATACTGTAAGGTGGGAACCAGCACTTCTCACTCTACATAGAGGCATCCATGAAGACAAAAGCGAAGTGGCAACTGTTCCCAAGGAATCTAAGAGCGGAAAGGGACAATCTCTGTCACACACTCACGCATCGTTAGAAAGGCTCTCTACTTACAAACACATGTCCTTTATCATAATATTGAGACTTACTGGTGTGCTGCTTTGGATATGGATATTCTTTAATACTTTTACTTTGATAAAATGTTAGAAAAATTATTCCCAACAAATTGATTATCATGCAGTTACCTTTTAAATCTGCATGAGGAGTTTCAATGGACTTGCCTACTTTTTCCCAAGGACAAATTCTTGTTGTAAAGAGTCTGAGGTTGGGCACAGTGATGCACACCTGTAATCCCAGCACTTGGGAAGCTCAGGCAGGAGGATTATTTCGAGTTTGAGGCCAGCCTGAACTGCACAATGAGACCCTGTCTCAAAAAGATAAAAGTAAGTAAATAAATATAAAACAAAGAGTCTCAGAGCAAGGTGAGGTGGCACACACCAGAAGGATCATTGCAAGTTCAAGACCAGCCTGTTAACAATCATTGGACACAGCAGCAGTAGGTGGGGTGAGGGAGACTACAAGAAGGAAGAAAGGGGGAGAGAAGAAGGAAGACACGAGACAAGACAAAACGGGGAGGGGAGGGAGTCTCACTTTTTATGTGAAGTCAGTGAAACACACGGGATGCATGTGCTATGTCTACCAAAAGTAATTTTGTGCTTTACCAGGTAACTTAAATGTTCTATTTATAAACAAAGCAAGAATATTCCATCTTTAGTTTTCTATTTCAACATAATAATTCTGACATATACAAGTTAGGCATTCCTAATATGAAACCCCCAAATCTGGAACTGTTTTCATAAAGTTTCGTATTCTAGAGTATTTCAAATTTCAAATTTTTGGAGCAGGGATGCTCAATGAATAAAGCTCATGTATTCCAAAGTCTGAAAAACTCCAAAATGTGAAAGGCTTCTAGCCCCACCCATTTTGGATAAGGAATATTCAAGCTGTACAGGCATTTCTTTTTTTGTTTTTGTTTTTGTTTTTCTCTGGTACCGGGAACCGAACTCACGACCTTGCGCTTGCCAGGCAGGCGCTTTGCCGCTGAGCTAAATCCCCAGCCCCCCAGGCATTTCTGAAACATATTTTTAAATAATCTTCAAAATGCTGAGGAGGAGGATAAGGTAGTAATCCAAGCTTCTGTGTTATTTCAAAACCATGTTTAAACGTTTTTCAGAGTGACCCGGCCTGCCCGCTGAGCTGTGGAGAAGTTTATTGCACTGCATCGCCTCTGATCCAAGCCAATTAGCAATTCTGGCCCTGGGTAGAAACCTTCTCTGATTAAGCAGGCCATTTTCTTAAATTGTGTAGAGGTACACTTGATTACACTTCTTTCTTTCTAGGGGAACTCAAGGGAAGGCTTTCAAACAGATAAGCAGAAAAGAAACCCGTGAGATTCGTTAAAACAACTAACACTGTAAGTACAAAACCCATACAGCAAAACTATACTACCAAGTAGCTGAAAAGGACAATGCGCCAGCCTGGAAACCAGCTAATACGCTGGTATATTGCTTCGCAAACAAAAGTGTTTGGTACAATTTTGTTTTTCTTTACAAACTCTACATCAGGTGACAAACAGGACCACAGCCCTCTTTCCTACACAAACACAAATGTGCTCATCTTTTTTAAAATCATGGGACAGATTAAGTTCATGAACCAAGGTGCCACTGGATCTGTAAATACTTATAAATTGTTCAAATTTAAAAATCAGAAAGATTTAAGCAAAATATACATATTTTATTGTTTTAGCTGAAAACAGGAAAATCAGTACCATTACCTGAAATCATATGAAAAACTATTTCCAGCCCTTTTTTTTTTTTGAGACAGATCTCACTATGTAGCCCAGGCTGGCCTCAAACACATGGTGATCTTCCTGCCTCAGCCTATTTTCAAGCTTCAAAGTTTCATGACAATTAACTGTTCTCTTCCAACTGAGTCTCGGTCATGTACAAGTGGGTTCATTTTGTTTGCACCAAATGACTGAACAGGAACACATGGATGTGAGTTTCGTTGGGGTGGATTTTTATTAGCTCACAGCAACTTATCACTTGGACCCAAAGACCCACTCTGAGTAGATCCCTGACTACAGGGGTGTCCTGTCAGCAGGAGGACCGTCACCTATCTGGGACTGTCTGAAACGGAGTATCCAGGACTGCAGCGTTCAACAACTCAGAACCTGGGAGGCTTTCAGTGTGCTTCAAATCATTGAACAAGGTAAAAGATAACAGTAAGCTTAAGCTTCTGTAGGCGTGGTTATCACACACCAGGGGCAGGATGGGCCACGGAGAAGGAACCCTGGGGACAGCCCTAGGCCATGGAAAAGAAGTCCTGGAACAACCTGGATAAGGTGCAAGTCTCAGGGTCTGGGGCTTTGGGGAGCTCACCAAGAGGTTACTGGAATTAAGTATCAACTTTCTTGGCTATCTGGTTGACCCTGATGGTCAGAGGGAGCCAGAGAAGTGGGTCTGAACCAAGGATCACACAGGCCCAACTCAACATTAACAGATGACTGCAGCGATTCTCACAGAATGTAAGCAACCACTCTGAATCCAACAAGAGCCAGTGAGGGTCCAGCTTATAAGTATCTACTTTGGAGCAAGACCACAGGGGTACACTGGCAGAACGCAGGAGCTCTGGTCTGAGGACACATCCTTCTACCACCCATCCACGGCAGGCCCCCCAACTTGGTCAACACATGTGTACGGCAGGCAGCAAGTCACCACGAACTCCTGGTTACATCACTCAGTATTTTGGTGGGGTTTTTTTTTGATACTAGGAATCAAACTCAGGACCTTGTGCTTCCTAGGCAGGCGCTATGCCACTGAGCTATCTCCTGGCCCCTCTATCTCAGTATTTTAAAATCATTATTCAGTCAACAGCATGAGAGATTTCAACACTTGGGAAACAAGCTGAAGACCTCACAATTTCCTTCAGTCAGGACAGAAGGAACTGCAGTCAGGGGAGTTTTGACCCATAAAATAGAAGAACTCTTACCAAAATGACTACATTTGGGGATTTAAAAAAACAACTTTTTCCTACCTTAGATATAAAATCATTGTGTACACTGAAGTCAGAATTATGAATTCTGACAATGTCATGATAGTGTACACAAACTCTCAGGTTCCATCTGCTTCTTTGAAGATAATCACTCTGTGCTTCTGCCTCTGCCCAAAAAATGTAAAATAACTACAGAAATTGTTCTGTCTTAAAATCCTTAGTCTAGAGACTTCCCTTCTGTCCCCCACCCACCTCCTTCTTGGCCAGTGGCTGACTCCCTGCTCCTCATGGTTTGTTTCAGAGACCCACCCTGACATCAGGCATAGACGACCAAGCATCCTGCCTCTCTGCCCTGCAGCCAGGCCGCTGAAGGCTACAGAATCAGAAAGGTTCACCTTGTTGAAAAGGAATCACCGAGCTCACAGGACTTCTAACTCGGCCCTCAACCTCACTCAGCCATTGTCCTGTTCCCGGCCCCTGATCATTTTCCACCTGAGCACCACACTGCCCTGCCCACACTGCTCGCATGTCTCCTCCTCCTCAGTGACCCCAGCACCCCTGTCCCATCCAAGTCCCCTTTTCTGTACTGAGTGACGTGCTTGCTGCACACTTTTAGCAGCAATCTATTCGTTTAAGAAAGAGAGAAACATGAATTCTCGCTCTCCTACGTTTGGCTGGATTTTCCTAAACAGCAGTGGAACAGCATGCTGCATTATAACTGATCAGCTGGCGAGCTCTCAGCCTTGCTACACTCAGCG